TGTTTTATATTTTATTATATATATATATATATATATATATATATATATACTCAAAATGCATCAATGCACAGTATGACAGTTTAACATTTAGTGACTGTTCCTGTGATATGAGTGCCTACAGACCATCTGTTTAACTGCCGTTTTTCAACATGATGTTTCTGGGAAACTACTGCAGTTTTAGCCTCCATCTGGACCTACAAGTCTTTTATGAACTGCACTTGAGGTCCTCTGGAGCTCACAGTTACAAAGTTAAGATAAAGTGCAGAACCAGCAGGTATGCTGCAGTAAAATGTGTAAAGAAACAGCTGCATGAAAGCCACATTCAGTGATTTGGTACACACTATAAGTAATAATGTATAGTCAGTCTGTTACGTCTCATAAAAATAAACCTCAGCAAAAAAACATGATATATGAAACATTTTATTGTATTATGTCAGCAGGGGGCACAAATTTGAACAAAAGTTTAGAGATCATTATCCAAACATGTTTGACCACAGAGTATCTTGTTTTGGCAATCAGAATCAAGAATCCAAGTCTTGCAGGCTTGTTCGTTCATTTGATTTGGAGATATAAATACATTTATAATTTTACACTTAGTCCAAAAAATTAGATAAGCTTCCATAAATAGCTAGGAAAGATATCTCCCTAAATGCCTGACTTTTCGGAGTATAAAAACTCACAGTCTTTAGGAAAAAGACAGGGATCAAAAAGGCAGAAAACAAATGAGCAGAAAAGTATCTTTGAATGACAATTAAGCCAGAGATTAGAGGCGAATGTACTATGAATTGTTAAAAAACGTGTCTCGTTTGTTGTACAGGATTAGATGGTAAATGATGGTTCATTTATTTGGAGGCTGTGGATTCTGTTATTGTTTTATGACTCTTGTTCTGAATTCTCTTACTCTGAGAATGTGGCCTGAAGACAGCCTTTATGAAATATTCAGGCCTGAACATTGATCCAGAGACATAAAGACACTGCTAACAATGCTATGAATCCCAGACTGCAGGCAATGAACATCTATAGCTCACAGCAGGAGGATTTCTGGATCTGTCGTCCTCTAATCCTCAAGCTGGACCTGAAGGGAACATTTCTATTAGTTTGAGAGTACAGTGTCAACTCCTTCGTAATGCACCAAAAAAAAATCCGAAAGTTAAGCAGGCTATGAGCGAGCTCTCATAGAATGCAGAAGCACTCTCTGGATGTATGATGTGTATTAATACACTAGTGGTCAAAAGTAAAAAAAAAAAAAAAGCATAGTAGCATTTATTTGATCAAAAATACAGCGAAATGTGTAATTTTGTGCATTATTTTAACAATTTAAAAGAACATTTTATATAGGTTTTATATATATATATATATATATATATATATATATATATATATAAGAAAAGCTGTATATT